TGTTTGGTTGCATGCCATGGCCATGATTCCGCAGAGTGGAGTCCTTTAAATCTTCGAGGTTTTAGTGCTTGATACATGTATCTGTGTTGTAATTTAACAATTTGTGCTGGAAAAGTTTACTCTCTCTCTCTCTCTGACAATGAAGTAGTGCTTGATGCATGTATCTGTGTTGTAATTTGTCAATTTGTGCTGGAGAAGTCTCTCTCTCTCTCTCTCTTTCTCAATTATCATTCAGCCAGTGGCGAAGGATCTATTCATATATTGAAATCTGGAAGATGACATATTGTAGATGTTGCACCGTAGAAATATTTGGACTGAAAGGTTTCTTATTAGACTGGAAATTGAAACAAGTTAAAATCCTGTACAGAATAATGTTTAGGATTTTGTACCAACATGGCCTGAATTTTCTATTTAAGTGAAAACCCTAAAACCCACAAGTTGAGCTTCGAAGTTATTGTTTTTTTTGTTATCAAGGGGATTACATTTGAGTGAAGTAAACATACAGGAAACTTCTTCTAGAAAACATACAGGAATTTAGAAAGAATGCCGTGGCAGGCAAATGAATGAAGTGAAATACATTTCCTCTAAATTTACACCAACAGCTTCTTCCTTCTCTTGCCCTAAGCACCCGGCAAAAGGTCTTCCACCCGAAGCAAAATCGGTTGACGTGCTCACCGTCACCGCTGTCCGGTGCCAACGAAGAGCATACATCACAAGTATTTCTCTCCCGTTGTTTCGCCTGAATATGCCGGCGAAAATTCTCCCACACGTGAAACCTCACCTCCATCCTCGACCATTGTCCTCTCTACTCTCTTCATACCTTTGATTTTACCCCCTTTGAATGCATTCCCTTATCTTCTTTCAATTCTCAATTGGGATTTTTCTCTGTTTCACTAATAAGGACCACTTCCGTCTGATCAAGTACTGATACTGCTCTACTCAAAGAGTATATCTGTTAATTACTTTCTGGTTAGTTATTTCTGAATGTGCAGATTTCCCAGTATTCTCAGCAGTATCTGTCCTGTTTCTCTTTGTTTCCTTTCTTTTTACTTCTTTTGGGGTGAGGGAATTTCATCGAAATTAGTCTACAAAACATGGTCCAGAATGATCATGATATGTGTTGTTTGCTCTTTCTTGTCTTATTTCCCTTGACATGATCTGCATTATACTTGTTTGCATATTTAGTTTGAGCAATTATAAAGCCAGCGTGATATCTTGGGATGATTTTCGCTTCATGCTTAATTACTAAGTTAGACATAATAAGACTAATGTTTGCTNCCGAGCCTAATTTTTTTTGGCCGGGCCCGGCTCGGCTCGGCTCGGGCCAAAAAAAGCTCGGTCCAAAAAAGCTCGGGCTCGGCCCGAGCTTTTTTTTCCCGGCTCGGGCTCGGCTCGGCTCGGCTCGTTGCCACCACTAAAGTATCATCATATCATTAGCAGCATTCTTATCAGTAATAACAAATTGATATAAAATAGAGATATTTATAGAGAAACTCTGTAATTTTTGGAAGGAATGAGATGGATGTTGGTGTAATAGTCAGTTACCATGCTTATGTTGTTTTTTTAATTTTGAGATGGATTTTGCATTTAGAAAAAAGCCATACTATAATGGTGTGAGGTTAACAGAATGGTCAAATTGATTTAATTTCTACTGTTATGCGAGGATAAGCTCTTTCACTCAAAAGTGAGGAGAAGGAAAATTCTTAGGCTCAACCAGGCTAAATAGTCTGTAGAGTTGTTATCTTTAGAATTCGTGTGAATTCATTCCCAAGTTCATGGTTAGGCAATCTGAATCAACAACAAAAATATTAGCCTACTCATATTAAATCTGATGTTACTGTTGGTCAAACATGTGGAGCATCCGAGGACTATACGCGCTGGTTAGTACATGAGTGACAATAGAGATCTCGAGTGAACATGCATTTGAAGTCATAAAGTTTAATAGTTAAAATTTGCTTGCTTTCTATTTTCCTGTAGTTTAGCGTTCAAAGCCATCGAAGTTTCAATGTTTTCACTTTAAACCAAGTAAAGACAGATAAAACAATTATTGTTGGGAATAAAAGGCTATTGTCGCCACGGGTATCTAGTGATGTGGTAATGAACAAACCAAGATAATGTTCAAATCGAGCCAAGGTTACAATATGTAAATTTGTGGATGGAGAAGTCCTTCCTTCCATAAGTAATCATCTTTCCTGATGTCTTGTTGAACGTAAAGAGCATTCAACAATACATTTTGAAGGCCTTGCGACAGACTAATTGAAAACGCTGAGATGGTTCCAATAAACGGGATTTTTACGGGATTTTTTTAATGGAAGTCATATAGTATGAATAGAACTTTTTATTAAGACTCGAATTCTATCTTAAAAAATTAACCTTTTTTAAGATGGGTAGCTCAAAACCTTGTAAGTATCCTTATAAGTTAGTCTGTAGTTTCATCTTTATTCAATGTGAGATTCATCCACAACACTTTTCACATGAATTAATTAGAAATATTTTATTTTGGCATTCCTTTGCTATGCTAATAATATTACATAGCTACCTTCTTATTTCAGTTTGAAGTGATTGATAATTCATGTGTATATATGTATAGAGAGAGAGAATTAAATTACATTGATGTCTAGGACTATACTGGTGATGATATTACGGTGGAGAATTTTTTTGCTGTGATCCTCGGCGACAAGAACGCTGTGAAAGGAGGAAGTGGAAAGGTTGTCAACAGTAAACCTAATGATAGAATCTTTATATATTACTCTGATCATGGTGGTCCTGGAGTGCTTGGTAAGTTGATCAAGAGGAAGCCTGCAGTGTGTAATTTTTACCCATTTCATGTCTTCAGTAATATATCACCAGCTGAATATGAAAACTTTAAGGTATAAAGCCTTATTACTTTTCAGGGATGCCGAGTACGCCATACCTTTACGGGAAGGATTTTGTCGATGTTTTGAGAAAGAAGCATGCATCCGGAACCTACAAAGAGATGGTGAGTGGTTTTCCTCGATGTTTGGCATTTTCCTAATTGGCTATGAGCTGGTCCATAACAGTTGGATCCATCATGTATTATTTAGGTCATATATGTTGAAGCATGTGAGAGTGGGAGTGTATTTGAAGGCTTGCTGCCTGAAGATCTGAACATATACGTGACAACAGCGTCGAGTGCAGACGAGAGTAGTTGGGGAACATATTGTCCGGGAATGGATCCTCCGCCTCCTCCGGAGTACATAACATGCTTGGGAGATTTATATAGTGTTGCTTGGCTGGAGGATAGGTATGCTTTCTCTGTTGTTGCATTGTGGATTCTTTTGTTCCTATATTACACACGCTTTGAAATGCTCAATCCAATTGATCGAATTGGATTCTTGACTATATAATTTAAGTTCTATTAGAGATTGCATATGCAAAAGAAGGTTTTGTTAAATGATTTCAGTGGGTTTTTGATGACTTGGTGGTTGATTTTTTTAAGCATATTGATATTTCTGAAATGAGTTCTTGTCAAACAATTGCACTTCAGAGTTCCGCTTCATAAACATATTTTTCCCTGTAATGGTAATCGTCTCTTAAGTTATGAAGAATAACTTGTTCTTTTGTCGAAACAGCTTGTGTTGTTGGAATCTTTCATGAATAGTTTCACTTTGGTATATCTAATGTGAAGAGCATAATCTTTCTGAATTGAAAATGAAAATTTATTTAATCTCCTGAATGGCTTAATTAACTTGAACTGGCAATTACACAAGCTTCAAAACGATCATAGCTTAATTTGCAATTTAGTTGTATGCCGGTCTTCAATGTTGTGTATGTTGTAAGTAGTCTGGCACTTTTACAACTGTAGCTTCCTTCCATTTGTCTGCAGTGAGTCTCACAACCTGAAAAAAGAAACAGTCGAGCAGCAGTATCAGAAGGTAATCTCGATGCAAAATCCTTTTGCAGTCTGTGAAACTGAGGAGCTCATTTATATCTGAGTCATAATAATTGCTTTGAAAAAGGTCCAGTTCCTATCCTCTTCTAACTACGAAACCTATAATGATGGATCTCATGTGATGGAATACGGGAATAAAAGCATCAAACCCGAAAAGCTCTCTTTGTACCAGGGTTTCGATCCTGCAACTGAGAACCTCCCTTCAAATCGAATTGGCTTCAATCATCGGATGGATGTTATTGACCAGAGAGACGCTGACCTTCTCTTCCTATGGGCAAAGGTGAGTTCTTATCTTGTCCATCAAGCTAGACACTTATGGTATGTTCGATAAAGAGGATTGTATAGCTGTGGACAACATTAAAGAGGAGAGCTAAAATCTCATTTATTATACTGTGAGTGCTAATGCGTTGTTCTATTTTGTTAATGGACAACGAAAAATTAAGCAAAGTCAAATTATTTCTTCTTGTATTCATCTAGTATTGATGTAGAAAGTAAGGCTTATTTACTGGTTTAAGTGCTGAATACGTTGCTGCCATGCGACAGTACAAAAAACTGGAGGCTGGTACGAACAAGAAGGCGAAAACCCTTCAGCATATCAAAAACACATTACTCCACAGAGAGCATTTGGATGGGAGCATCAGTTTTATAGGATTGGTCTTATTTGGTCCTGCAAAGGGGCCTTCCACTCTGAAATCTGTGCGAGATCGTGGTTTACCCCTTGTGGACGACTGGGATTGTCTAAAATCAATGGTAAGATTCTCATTAAAACCAGTAATCTATTTTTCATTTTCTCCCAGAAATTCTGCTAATTTAAACTGACATGCCGGATTTCTGTTATTCCTAGGTTCGTCTTTTTGAGACACATTGTGGTTCGTTAACTCAATACGGGATGAAGCATATGCGAGCTTTTGCAAATATATGCAACAACAATGTGTCTGAAGAAGATATGGAAGAAGCGACAAACCAACGTACGGTACCGGTACGTTCCGCAGAGTGGAGTCCTTTAAATCTTCGAGGTTTTAGTGCTTGATACATGTATCCGTGTTTTAATTTAACAATTTGTGCTGTAAAAGTTCTCTCTCTCTGTGACAATGAAGTAGTGCTTGATGCATGTATCTGTGTTGTAATTTATCAATTTGTGCTGGAGAAGTCTCTTTCTCTCTCTCTTCCCCTCCCTCCCTCCCCGTGACAATTAAGTATCATTCAGCCAGTGGCGAAGGATCTATTCATATATTGAAATCTGGAAGATGACATATTGTAGATGTTGCACCTTAGAAATATTTGTACTGAAAGGTTTCTTATTAGATTGGAAATTGAAACAAGTTAAAATCCTGTATTAGATGACAGCTGTTCTCCTTGATTTTTGTTGTTATCCTTTAGTTAGTTTGTTTGTTATTTTTGAATATTCAAATGTAAATATCTCTGAGCTATAGCCTTATATTTAGGATCCTTTGTTACAACTTGTATTATATAATTCTTTCAATAGTAATGAAAACAGTGAGCTTCTGCCCATCGTTGTTGCCCATCGTTGTTTATGATATCAGAGCACCTTTCTTCCCATTGAAAAACTCCAGTTTTTTTTCTCTTCCTCTATACACTATAATGACTACTCCAACCACTTCGCCGGACACTCCGAACTCCTCCTATCCCACAATCACAACCACTCCAACAAATTCAACCACTCTCCATACCACTGAATAT